TATCTCCATCTGGACCCGAGGATTGGTATTGCCGAAGTCCACGTGGTACCTTGGCGACGTCATTAGCCTCCAGAAATGGGGCACCGTTTGAGAGCACGTCAGAAGGGTGTGAACACAAAACCCTATGAGGGGACGGCGGTGACGAATTTGAGATCTCTGCTCCTGTGTACACTCAAGCATAATGCCGAGCAAGTACACCAGCCTTGTTGATCGGATCCCAAGTTAAAAACTGCGCTGCGGTACGTATGTCATCAAACTGTATCCACCATATATTCCTTACCTCATGAGGGTGCTTGTGAGAATCGGGTCCCTCGTCCCCAGCATACAATCAACACCGAAAGGTGGGAGAAACTGGATGTTAGATACGTCCGAGGCACGAGGAGCTAGAACAGGATCCAGTGCGGAAAATTGCTGACTAAGACTGCGAGTGGGTTCCTGCACATGTTAATGAAGGGCGATTTTACAGACTGTTGAATTCAGTTCCCGTGAGAAGTGATCAGCAGACGTGGTGAAACAGTTTGAAGCTCAGTCAATGTGTGTTTCATTGAAGTCTCCGAGCCCTATACAGTGACCATTCATAGCCCAAAGCCTCATGGATTCCAACAATAATGAAAAGTCCGATGCTTGAGTCCTGTACAGGACTCCTACCACAGTATTACAGTTGCGGAAAGTTTGATTTTGCACCACAAAGATTCCGATAATCCCTGATGGTCGACATACACCTACAGAATATGTGATGGCAGCTCCTCGCGAATGTATACCATAACTCCACCCCCCACGCATTGGGTTCCAATCCACCCGAAACACGACATAACTCGCGATTCACACTTCAAAAACAGCGAGATTTCTGTGAGAGCGACAACTGCTGGCTTGTGGCAGTGAACAGAGGCTTCGATTTCATCTCTCTTATTAAGTAAGCGAACATTGAAGAGAAAAATATCCGCGTTGTCCTCCGTTTGTTGGTCTATGATCCATCAATGGTGCAAACCACTGCACTGGGTGTGTGAAGCGGAGGCCATTTCAGTTGCAGCCGCCTCCGGACGACGCAAAACTCCCGAATAATTAAATTATTCTCTCTTCGGGATTGCGTTTCACGAAGCTCCACAAGTGCAGCTTTCAACCTGGAACGCTCCTCAGGCTCCAGATCACGTAAAAGTTGCGCCGGATCGATTTTCAGACGGTATGAACGACGGAACAACTCCTCGGCTTGGGTTCTGGTACCGAGAGCCACCATCAGAGGACGAGGAAGACCGTTCTCCTTTATCTTACCCAGGTGAAATGCTGCCTAAACCTTGATGTCATTGGTCACGGTTTCTTCACCCTAAAATACGTTTTCGAATAGGGATCTCAACTAGAACAAATTGTGGTTAAGTCTCTCCTGAGTGCACTCCGCTGGGGCCTAGAGTAGGTTCAGTGCTAGAAAGCACTGGTTCCGCTGAGGGGCATTTCGTTTGGTGGCACACCACTTTCAACCGCCTCTCCGAGGTATCCAATGCGGCGTGCGGCAGGGACCCTGCAAGCGGTCCTCCCTCTTTAGACGCCTGTGCTGTGGTGCTAATAATCTAAACCAAACAGTCCGTTAACGGCGAACCCTGAAGGCCATTGTTCCGTGTTCACAGAAGACATTCTTTCTGCATTGATATCTGAAGCCGTTTATTTATAAGTCATTAGCCGTCCCTTTTTGAATCACTGTGGTCATCTTTAGCTCGATTACGGCTCTTCCTTTGAAATTATGAATCTCTCATCTTCACTATACACCTTTTGTTTCCGCGCAATTTCTCCGAAGCGAATATTCCAACTTCCATTTTTATGTCTTGCCGATTTTTCTGCATAAACAAAACGTTTACAGTAATGTGCTCTACACAACAGATGACCCACAATACTCCATTATATGACTTTGTCCTCTTTGTGTTTCGTTTTCACCGCAACGCACATTTACGATGTCAGCTTAGGTCAGGTCAGGTTGCACAAGATGGTGAAGGCTTTCGCCCACCGAGCGTTCTGATTCTCGTTCCAGCCGAAAACGCGTTCTGGAGCTTCAACTTCTTGTCGACCGTTTGGTCACAGCCGATTTCTTCGTCCGGAACAGACTCCCTTATCTGGTCCGTATCTGCTAAGGGAGTTTATTCGGAAACAGACAGCATGGAATATCTACTGTCAATAGTAGGCACCCTACAAAATATCTGGATAGAGGCTGATCCAGACCCTTTCTAGTTGCCTTTTGAACTCATCGACTGTCCTACAGTCCAGTAGTAAAGATGATAGTTAGTTCCACTCATCTAGCAATCTACTCGAGAAGAAGTTGTACCTAAGGTTGAGTCGGCTACTGGGCTTCATTAGCTTCAAATGATGTTCTCTTGTTGACTCGAGCGGTGCTCGGGTAAACAGGCTGTCCGCCTCTAGCCCAGTCAGCCGCTTCATTATTTTGAAGGTTTCAATGATGTCGCCTCTCAGGCGTCTCCTCTCTATGGAGAAAAGCCATAGAGAATCTAATCTCCCCCTATATAATTGACCCCTCATTCCCGCGATCATCCCAGTGGATAACCGTTGCACCCTCTGACGCAATGGATATCGTTCCTCAAGTTAGGCGCCTAAGCCTGCACGCAGTATTCTAACTGCGATCTAACTATGGCCTTACATAAAGGCACAAAAACCTC